TAGAAGTATGTATGCATGCATGCATGAAGGAATAAATGCGTTGTGTGTGCATTTATGTACATGTGTATGTATGTATGTATGCATGAACGTGTGCATGTGTGGATAAGCGTATGTATGCGTGTGTACACCTGTACGCATTTACTCATGTCATGTATGCATGTGTGAGTATATGTGTGTATGTATGTACGTGCGTACATCAGTGTACGTATGTACGTATGTACGTACGTACGTGCGTGCGTACGTGTGTACGTGCGTACGTATGTAGGCGTGCATGTATGTATGTATGTATGTACGTATGGATGGATGGATGGATGTGAATATGTATGTGTGCATGTGTGTATATGTGTGTGCACGTGCGCGTGTGGGTTAGCCAGCGTGGACCCCAAACCGTGAGATGTTGCACTGCGGAGGTGAAAGCTAGGCAGTGCAAGCTGTATTATGAAAGCTATGTCGTGTAAGCTATGTGATGAGAACGAGGAGGTGAAAGGTACGCGTTGTAGTATTTGTGGTATAAGCGTTGTCGGGTAATCACACCAGCCCTTTATGGCGTGATTGGTCTGGAGCGCTTCTTCGTACAACCCCTTTCTTCCCTCCAGGGCCGGCGCCCTCTGTACCTGGACGGGCCGCCCCGCGACCCACTTGAGCGTCCAAGACGGCCTCGGCGAGAAGGCAAAAAATCAATGAGTTCAGAAAGGTGCTGGCCCGATGTTAACCTCCTAGGGGGGCCTGTAATTTACACACACCCCTCTTGGATAGATCTCCTCCAAGATGGCCCTAAGATGGCCCCCAAGGCTCGTGCCCCAAGAGGGCCTCAAGAGGCGCCCACGAGGCCCCAAGAGGCCCCTAGGAGGTACGTACCCAAAGAGACCCGCAAGAGGCCCGAAGAGGCTCTCCCGAGGCACCCAAGGCGCTCCAAGATGCCCCCAGGGGACCGCAAAGAGGCCCCCAAGACGCCGCAAGAGAACTACAAGAAGCTTCCAAGAGACATCCGAAGAGACTCCGAGAGGCATCCAAGAGGCATCCAAGAAGCTCCCAAGAGCATCCGAGAGGCTTCATCATCATCCTCCGCCTGTTCCTCCTTCTCCATCCTCCCTGTTCACACTCCCCCTCCTCCTTCTCCTCCTCCTTCTCCTCTTCTGGTTCCTCCTCCATCCTCCGCCTCTTAGGGGTATGACGGCGTCCCCGCCCGTTATGCCACTGCATGCTCCTCCACATCCCTGATAAAGACAATTCGCCTGGGCATTGTTTCACCATGGGCTGGCTGGGTTAGGCCAAGTGTCCACAATATATGTTGTGTGAGCTATATGTGCAATCTACGCGGTGCAAGCCATGTGATGCAATATACGTAGTGTAAACTATGCGTTGCACGCTGTGTGGTGTAGGCTATGTCGTGCAGGACACGTGGTGTAAGCTCAGCCCGCGGGGCGCGTACAAGCGCCCACGAGGCGGCAGCGTGGCGCAACCTCGGCGAACCCACCCGGCGCACGGGGCGCCCACTGAGCGCCCGCGAGCGCCCATGGGCGGCTGCGTGGCGAGACCTCGGCGGACCCACCGCGCACGGGGCACCCACGAGGCGCCCAGGGGCGCCCACGGGCGACCAGGTGGCGCAACCTCGGCGGAGCCATCCAATTCTTGAGGGACTCAAAACAAGAAACCTCCTAGTGCAAGCACTGCGAGGGGAGGACATGTGTATATATATATATATATATATTATGTATATGTTTGTATGTTTATGGAGTTATGCACAAATATGCATATATATATATATATACATGCAAATGCAAAACTATGTATAGATGTATACATACCTACTCATACACATACACCTGGCATCCGACATGTGAACAGTTGCCACTATAGCATCCAAAACGGCAGTCTCGCTCGAGACATTCGCCCACAGTTGACTTCGGAGCTCGTTTTCAATAGCAAGCGCACTGTGTGGAACCCCTTCCTCCACCATGTTAATCTTAAGGCGCGGCAATCCCACCTGGATTCGACGACGATTCCGCTATTGCGCCTCATTCCCAACAGTCATCTGGAGGTCAAAAGTATAATTGTTCTCTCCTTGTGTTTCTGGTTATCTATCTTATGGTTCCTCTTCTTCCTCGGTTTCGACGTCATATTTCTCTGATTGTCAATGCTTTGAGATTGCGTGCTGCAGCTTTTGCCACTTGTGTGTACATATGTGTATAGTGTATGTGTATACAACTGTATAGACTCAGATGTATATGTGTGTACATACATGCATGCATATATGTATAGATATACACATACATACAGTGGCTAAGCTTATAACAACAAACACAGGTAGTTGTACCATGCATGTGTATGTGTATATATAGATGCATGTGTACATACATCCGACGGGAAACAGGAAGCCCGCGCATAACGCCTTGCTGCCGCTTCTGCATTGCTGCCTTGCTCGCGCGCTGCCTTGCTGCATTGCTCGCCCGCTGCACGGCACGCGCGCGTGAATACCGCAGCCTTACCGCATCCTTCTTCGGCCCAGGTGAGAACCTGGAGTCCGAAACGCATCGCCATCACAACAGTGGCTCAGATCACGAATACACCAACAGCTTACCACAACACCTCCGTGGAGCGGCTTTCCTACTCGCTCGCACGGGCTGTCCACGATGTATTTTTTCTCCTGGCGCGAGGGGCATCCCGCCCGACTCATGCATTGACAGCCGAAGATACGCGATGGCACATGCGAGACACGGAGGGAGACGTGGTCGGGGCGGACGACAGGGAGAGTGGCAAAGGAAGGGAGGCGAAGGTGGGAGGGGGGAAGGGCGAATCGGCGGCATGCAGCCGGCTTTCCTGGCGCCTCCTGGCGCTGGCGGCGGCAGCGCATCGATCAGAGCTCGCCCCCCCCCTTAGCCCGATGCCCCCATTCGTCCGCCCTGAGATGGGAGAACCTGGGCCTCAGATAACGAAGAATCGCGACGGCGGTGACCGCGAAAGCACCGACAGCAGAGCAATGAACAACGCGCGCTGGGATGCCCCCCGAGAGGGTCAGCCGCTGCGCCCCGGAGGAGCTCCCTTCAGGAGGCTCGCCCCAATTAGCCCCAATTAGCTGCTCTGCGCCTGGGCAGCAGGGTCGCCTCTGGCGTCGAGCTGCTGAGCGGCAGGGGGAGGGGCCTTCTCTCCCCCCCCGCAGACGCAGCAGTTCTGCTCCGGGAAGCCGTGCACCTCTCCGAGGGCCGTCTCCATGCCCGGCACCACCGCTCCGTCGACGCACCAGGCCTGCGGTGTGTGCCTCGCGTAGGCCTCGCACGTCCACCCGCGGTCTGAGCAGCCCTGCTCTGGGCCGAAGCCCTCGCGGATGCAGCTGTCGTCGCCGTTCGCCCAGCCGGGCGTGTCGGCGCAGGGGCCCGCGCCCGGCGGCGGGCCACCGCTGGGCGGAGCGGCGGTGGGCTCGTCGTTGTTCGGCGGAGCCACCGTGGGCTTGTCCTGGAGGAGGCGGCACCCGCAGAGCAGGTCTGCGGCAGCGTCCTCTGGCATGCCGTCGGCGCACCGGAGCTCTCGCCCCACGCCGCAGCCCGCCTGGTCTGCCGCCTCCGCGGCGGAGAAGCAGGCGTGCCCGAAGCTGCTGCAGTACGCCTCGCAGCTGCGGCGCTCCCCGGGCTCCCGGAGCGAGACCCGCTGCACGCAGACCCCGCAGCTGGCGGTGCCGGCTGCCGAGGGCCAGGCGGAGAAGTCCAAGCACTGCAGGGGGCCCTCGTCCTCCTGGGGGGCCCCTTCTGCCTCCTGCTGCGCCTGCAGGGGGCCCTCCTCCTCCTGGGGGGCTCCTTCTGCCTCCTCCAGCGCCCGGCAGCCGCAGATCATGCCCTTGGAGCTGGTTGGGAGGAGCGGCATGTCCTCGTCGCACTGGAGCTCTCGGTCCACCTCACAGCGCAGCCGCCCGTCCGGATCGGCCCTGCTCTCGGCGGCGTAGAAGCAGGCATGCCGGAACGTGGCGCAGTAGGCCGCACAGCTCTGGGCGTCTTCGCCGACGCGCGCCATGTGCCTGCACGTCCCGCACTCCGCGTCCCCGTCCTTGCGCGGCCACCCCGAAAACTCCTTACAACGCAAATTGGCAGGCTGCTCCAGCGGAACGGAAGCCATGGTAGTCGTGGCGGGCAGCGTGGTAGTTGACGTCGTCGTCAGGGTCGTGGCGGGCAGCGTGGTAGTTGACGTCGTCGTCAGGGGTTCATCCACGGGCGGCGGTGCATCGCCCCCCTCCGGGTGGCGGCACCCACAGACCATGTCGTGGGAGTTGCGCTGAAACGGCCGCAGATCGTTGCTGCACTGCATGACACGCTCGATCGCACACTGAAGCTGGCCGTCTGGTCCGTTCTTGTCCTCCGCGGCATAGAAGCACTCCTGGCCGAAGCTCGCACAGTATTTGTCGCAGCTGTAGAACTCGCCGATGAGTACCAGGTGCTTGCACACCCCACAGTCTGCACCACCATCTTTCTGCGGCCACTCAGAGAAGTCCTTGCATCTCACAGGCTCGTGCCGGCCGGTCACAGAGGTCGCAGTACTGGACGGCACAGCAGAAGTTGTCCGCCACCGCGCCCTCTGGCATGTTCCAATCGCTGCTTCACAGGGTTTGGGCCTGTTTCTTATTATTCGTGATAACGGTCGGGGGAGGGGGGGGGGGGGGAATTCGTCCCCCCCGATCACATCACGGCGAGGAGCCGCCAGAAATCTGCGGAAATCCTCGAAGATTCTGTCGGAAACCTTTGCAAATGTAGGCAAAATAGCGCGACGTAGTCCCGGGGGAGGAGGGAGAGGGCCGATCAAGGCCGTTTTCGCCCAGACCTTCAGAAGACGAGCCCACGGGTTTCTGAAGCCTGAAGCCTTCTGACCACCCCCCTCGACACGCTTCCCTGCGTGCACCGACCCCCGTCCCAAGAGACCCTGGGTGGCTCGACGCGCCCCCTGGGGCTCCCCGAGGCGCTGCAGGGCCAAGAAGACGGCCCAGGAAGGCCACCAAGGCCGCCAGTCAGGAGGCACCGAAGAGCGCCCCAGAAGACCCCAAGAGGCGCCAGAGAGGCCCCAAGAGGCCTCAAATACACCCAAGACGAGGCCAAGGAGGCAAGGAGGCCATGCAGGCAGGCCAGAATAATTCAAATGCCTGTAGAATCCACATCTGATCGAACATTGTGCGCGCGCTAGCCCTCTCGGCTCAAGATGGTTCCAAGAGGGCATCAAAGGAGCGAAAGAGAAACCCAAAGGGCCCAGTGAAAGAGGACAACCCCAAGATGATCCCAATACGGCCTAAAAGAAGCCCAGAGCAATCCAAGAGGACCTCCAGATTGCCAAGAGGGCCCCAAGAGACTTCCGAGACAGCCCGCCAGAGACCCTCCAGACGGCCGCGGAGCCCAAGACGACCCGAGACGGCACCGAGACGATCCAAGAGGGCCCCCACGGCCCGAGAGGGTCCCAAGAGGGCCCCAAGATGGCCCCACGGGAGCCCAAGAGCGCCCCGGAAGAATCCAGGCAGGCCCTCTGAGAGCCTCATCCTCCTCCGCCTCCTCCTCCTCCTCTGCCTGCTCCTCCTCCTTCTCATCCTCCTTCTCCTCTTCCTCCTCCTCGCCTCATGAGAGCCTCTCCAGGAATGGAGACGAAGAGGTGTCACATGTTGCGGCCCGCTGGGCGGTGCTCGGAGCGGCGCCACGCAGAGTGCTGCCCTGGCACGGTGGCGACTCTTGCCGCAGCAGCGGGATCCGCCGCCCCCGACACCGTTCTGGCTTTTCACGACGACTCGGACACCGAGCTGCAACATGAGGCGGACACGGTGACCGCGCCGCGTGCTGAACTCTTGATTGGTTTCGGTTACTATGTTTAACAGAAACAATGGTCGAGCGAGGAGTGGTCACGCACAAGACGCGCACAAGACGCCTTGTGAGGAAGTGTCTGTCCAAGAGATGTGCGAGTACGAGTCCGCCAGCGTGACCCACACAAGATCACACAGGACATCCCGCACAAGACCTAGCAAAAATGACCTCTAGGACCACTCTTTCTGTCAAGAACAATTATTCTAACAGGTTCTCAGTGGGGTCTCCGCCGGTCGCGCCCGCACCCCCCAAATGGCACTGATCGGCCCCAAGTCGTCCCGGAGAGGTTCCCTAGACGGCTTCCGACGGCGTCAGACGTGCCAGGAACGCCCAAGACGAGCGGAAATTTGCGCAACGCCCGCCCCCAAGAGGCCCAAGGAGGCCTCCAAGAGGCCTCCCAGAGGCATCCAAGAGACCCTCGGGAGGCGCCCAGGAGGCCCCAAGAATACCCCCGACGCCCTCTCCTCCTCTCTCTCTCTCTCTCTCTCTTCCTCCCCCAGGCTTTCCCCGGAAGCGTTCCGACAACTGCTGGGGGAACACATAGTCCGACAGCGTGGCCGAGCTCTGGCCACAGCGTTTGGCCACATAGACGCTTCCAAGAAGCAGGGTGCGGCGGTGTTTCGTCATATGCGTCTTCGATAACGACTCTGGTGGTGGGGGCCGTGGTAGTCACCGTGGGGGCCATGGTAGTCACCACGACTTTGGACGTCTCAATAGAAGCGGGCGCCTGGTCCAGCGCGCCCTGCAGGGATTCCGAGGTGGCTGCCCCAGGCGGATGTGGGCGGCGAGCGCGGGGGGGAAGTGAGAAGGAGCGGGCCTTCTCAGAAGGCCCAGAAGCCCCCCGGCCTTCTGAGAAGCTTCCTGAGCCTCTTCCCCCGAGACGCAGAAAGCCTCTCGGAAAGCGCGAGGGCTTCTGAGAAGTCCCGCCGCCTCCCGAGAAGGCCTCGTCCTTCTCACTGTCCCCCCCTCGCTCGCCGCCGAGGATGGGTTGCGAAGCCACTCCAGGCCGTCGTCGTGCACGACACGTCCAGGGGGCAGAGCGGCATGGGCACCCACACCGTCGGGCAGGGCGTGGTCGTCGTGGTGGACGTTGTGATGGAGGTGCGCGTCGTTGCGGTGGTCGAGGTCCAAGTCGTATCTGTCCCCGTCACTTCCGTCCGCGACGTAAGCGTCCCAGTCGTGATCGATGTAGTCGTCAAAGTGGTGAATGAAGTTCCAGTGGTTGTGGTGGTCGTCTCCGTAACGACGGGCCCCGCTGAGAGGAAGCCGCAGATCAGCGACAGAAACACAACCGCACAAAGAAGCCAAGGGCAGCACCATATACACCAAGACCTCTGCGCTGGTACTCTTACCACGTCGTACTGGCCTCCCGTGCCGACATACCTGTACTCCGTCACCGGCTGGAACTGCCCCCTGCCGCCTCCCACGTACGCCAGGATCTCCCCGTCGCTGCTGTCGCAGCACTGCTGCGCGCAGCCCTCCTGCTGGTACGCGCCGCCGCCCCACCAGCTCGAGAAGCTGTCCCAGTACTGCAGGTACGGCGAGTAGACCGCGCCCCGGTGCTGCGCCCCCGGCACCGGGGCGTAGGCGGCCTGCTGCGCCAGGGGCACGGGGCGGCCGTGCGCCCTCGCGTTCCAGCGGCCGCCGCCCGCCCACGCCATCCCTGGCGCACGGCCCCGCCTCCGCGCCCGCCGGTGGGGCGGCCGCCGGGCGGGCCCGCCGGGAGCGGCAGGGGAGGGGCGGCCCCGCCTCTGCGCCGCGCCCCGCTGCCACCGCCGAGGTCGCGCGAACGGCTTTGTCTCGCAGCGCCGCGGGAGAGGTGGCGAGCCCGAGCCGGGGAGGCCCTGAGCCAAGACGGCTAGACACAGGGGGGGGGGGAGAGGAGGAGGAGGAGGAGGAGGAGGAGGAGGAGGAGGAGGAGGAGGAGGAGGAGGAGGACGAAGACGACGACGACTTCTAGTGGCGAGCACAAGGGATCGGGGCGAAACTGGGCGGCCTTCTTAGTCCAGGGGATCGCAGCAGCGCGGCCCACACCGTCCGAGCGGCGGGGGCATCCTCAGAAGCCCGCCCCCCTGACCCTGACCCCTTCTTGCGCGCCGCCGAGATTTGCAGGAAACCCGAAGCCCACACGTGCCCCCTGCCGACCGAGGAGGGCTAGGCGGGGTCTGTGGCCGGGTGCGGCGGGGCCGCGCACTGCCAGAGGAGGAAGACCAGCAGGACCTTGGAGAAGCCTCCGCACGTGAGCGACGAAAAGAAACGGGTCTAACAAACGTTGACATAGCGACACGGTGGCTTACCCGGGCCGCTGGCGCGGCACGCCACATTGGAAACGAGGGCGCTCACGCGAGACCTTACGCGGGAAACTTACGCGCGACTGTCAGCGCAATCGACCCCGTTTTCTGTCGCTCACTTGAACCCTATCCGGCCAGGTTTCGGAAACGCCAGCTCGGGCTCGGAAAATTCGGAGGATGCCTGTGGCTATGCGAACCCCAGCGGGGATGTCCGATACCCCAGCGCTGATTGGACCCGCAACCTTCGCCGTCGGCGAAATAAACCCCTGCGCGCCGCCACGCTGGTCCTGGGCAGGCCGTGCTGCCCAGCGGAGAGGGAAGAGGAGGGGAGAAGCAGGCAGGCAACGACGAACACACAGGCGATTGGACCTGCAAGGGTAGGCTTCGCAATCGGTCGCATGCATTAGGAGCTCGACCACAAGAGACCTTCCACGAGAATCCCAACCCTGAGACCCCAGGACGTCCATTGATCTCTGGTGTGGGGACGTCACGCGTTCCATAGCAGAGCCATCGAAACCCAAAAAACCGATGGGCACCCTGGAGGCTGGCAGGGTGCTTCTTGGCATGGGCTCCCACCGTGTTGGAACGAGTCCAGACGTGAGCCCCGCGGAGAGTCGGGGAGGAACAAAGGTGGGGGTTGGGGCAAAAGTAGGGTTGGAAGGAAACTCGCCCCGAACGGCCCCCGGAAAGGGGGAAACGCGTGAAACGGGAGCATCCGGCGTGGGCCCGCTCCCCAGCCCCTTGGGATGACCCTCCCTCTACGAACCCCCGCGGACGGGAGGGGTGCTCGCGGCCAGACCGGGGCCCGCGGGCGGCCTGCGGCGGGGAGCGGCGTGTGGCACCACCTCGGCGGCGCGGCGCCTCGCGCCGTGCGCACGGCACGGCACGCGCCCGCCCGCGGAGCGTGCGGTCGTCATGCCGAGGAGCGCCAGGCGAGGCACAAAAGGGGCCCTGCCCGCGGCCACGGCGAGCCTGGGCCGCGGAGGGGCTCCGCGGGCCGCTCATGCCAGCAACGGCTCGGAGGCCAGAGCTCCTCCTGAGCCCAAGGTGGTCCGGAGGTTGGCGCCCTGGCTGCAGAGGGGCTGCGCACGCGCTGGGTGCACTGCACGCGGAGGGCCACGGTGCCCAGCTCCGCGGAGGCCGGGCGCCGAAGGCGATGCGGCCACGCGCATGCCGGCCA